AATCCAGGTCACGGAGGGTAGAGGAACAGACTACAACAGTTCTTACAGTTTAGAGACGAATCTTGGTAAGCTTGATGCCTGAATTCTTTCTTTTTTTGGATTTTCTTGATGAAATACTAAAACCCATTTCTTAATTTTCTTGGGAAATTTTTGTTGACAGGAGTGACAAGAGTGTTGAGAGAAGAGCGACCGTCAAGTAAGATAGTGACAATAACAAGCTGCTCTACGATTAAGGGGAGATTCGAACCCTATGAGTCCTCTGTTTTTGAGTCTTCTGGTTACAAATGGTGAAAAGAATCTTATTCTTTCCTATTTAACTTTTTTATTTATTTACTGAGTTCATAATATTGATGGAAATAAATAAATAAATCAGGAGATTGGTTTTATACATGATTGGTAATCAAAACGATGGTGGAAATGATCATATTTCACTTTACGTAAGGATCGAAGATACAGCATCTCTTCCTTATGGCTGGGAAGTCAATGTTGATCTCAAACTCTTTGTCCACAACCCCAAACTGTACAAGTACTTGTCTGTTACAGGTATATACAAATATATTCATCATCCTCATTCACAATTTTACTACATCCATTTTTTTTGCTAGCTACATTTACTTGGAGGTTGTAGATTTCGTATATAAACTGAGTTCATTGTGATTGGAAACTTGTACCAAATTGTGGGTTGTAGATGGAACTGTGAAGCGATACAACGACGCGAAAAAAGAGTGGGGATATGGACAATCGATTCCTCTTTCAACATTTTACAACACCAACGAAGGTTACACCGAAGGTGACACTTGCGGTTTTGGTGCTGAGGTCTTAATCGTTAACCCGGCTCAACAACAAGAGAAAGTCACATTTATATCAAACCCTCCAGACAATGTTTTCACCTGGAAGATACTTCGTTTCTCCAATTTGGAAGATAGATATTACTACTCTGACGATTTTCTCGTTGGAGACCGATACTGGTTAGTACTTCCTAGCTCATCATTTGCTAACTGGATCTTTGTAGACCAAAGGTCAAATGTAATAATAGTTTTTGTTAATGTATAATCAGGAAGTTAGGATTTAATCCCAAAGGGGTTGGAGGAGGATTACAATCACTTCCCATATTTTTCTACGCACAAGGCTTTAAGACAAACGCAGTCGCTACAAACACTTGGGGAGCGGTTAATTTGCGGTTAAAGAATCAACGAACCTCCAACCACAAACAAATCTATTGTAAGAAAAACCAAACAAGTGAAAAAAAATAATTAGTTAATCAAATAAAAATAGTAATTGATATAAATTGGTTTGTTTTGTACAGCTGCAGCTTGGTATCCGATCCGACCCGATTATGGTGTGGGAGTGTACACTATCATTACGTTTGCAGAATTAAACGATGCATCAAAGGGATATTTGGTGAACGATGCCATTATCTTTGAAGCTGAAGTGGTTAAGGTCTCTGTGACCAACATCGTCTCTGCCTAAAGATCGTTACTTCATTGTCATCGGTCAAACACGCTTATGAATAATGAGTTTGCAATAAGAACAAGTTGTTGATGCTTGTGTTGTAATCGTTATTTCTGTACTTCGAGTGTTTTTTTTCTTTCTGGTTTGTTATCAATAAACTGAAACTTTGTTGGTTTTAAAATCTTTGAAAGATGTTGGGGAAATTTGGACTGTTTAATTTATAGAATATCTGTACCCAATGACAAACTTTGTGATATAAATTTTTTTAAAAGTAGCAATGCGAACATGATGAGTGTCTGAATGTCTTTTGGAGGAGTTTGGACGATTTAACAATATAATTTGCATGGAAAATGAGAAAATGAAAATTAGGATTTCTGATTTGGGGTTTAGATTTAATTATGATGGTCCTATAGATTTTTATAGGACCATCATAATTAAATTTTTTTTTAATTATTATGGCTCAATTTCTTCTTTTTCAATCGTATTAATCTTCTTTTACGGTATGAATTTAAGTTTTTTAATCTATCACTTTGGCTCAATTTTCTAATTCTTCAATCGTATTAATTTATTTTATCTAAAACTAAAGTATTTATTTGTGTTATTGGTTGTGGAAGTCTAATTCAATACTCCATTATATTTTATCAGATTTTAAAAGATTTGATTCATTTAAAATGATTCATTATTTATTTTGCAATCTAAAGTTGAAGATCTATCTAAACTTCCAAAATCATTGGTAATGTATTGACAAAATATAGATGATATCATTTGATTTTTAGAATATATTCGAATCTACTAACAAATGAATATCT